CCATTCACAGGATGAGGGGAAACAACAGCCTAAACCATCACTTTGTGTATGCTGTGCCAAAGGTGCCCTGCTCTGTTTGGGCTGAGGATGCAGAGTCTGATGCCCCGTGAAGGCAGCCCCAGAGCCCATATGGAGGGCTGTGTCCTGCAGAAGGCATTTCAGCAGCTCCGTGTGGGGCAGGAGGGGCTGCTTGTGTGGGAGATGGTTGTGCTACTGCCAGAGTTGGGGTCAAGCCAAACTGGCACCGTTCCCCAAATCCTCCCAGGAGCGGGGAAAGGAAATGGTGCGACCATGCATGAGAAGGGACGTTTGCAGTGGCAAAAACATCCCACTGGCTCAGAAAATTGCTGCAGAATCGGGCTTGAAATGAGTTGAAATTGCTGAATCCAAGCGGATCTCATATCCCGGGCAGTTGTAATGCTGGCGTCAGCGCTGCGGCTTCCCTCCCGGGGCACCCAGGCGGGGCTAGCCGTGCTGTGCGGGGGGAGCAGGCTATTGGGGACAGGGGGTCTGCCCCGGGGGGGCCTCTGGCATGGTGAGGGGCTCCAGCAGAGCTGGAATCTGGGGCTGGGATGGCCATAGTGGGGGGCAGGAGCAGAGCAGGAGATAGGGTTCGTGGGTGTGCCATTGCCCCAGCTCTATCAGTGTCATCCCAGTTTGGCTCCAGGTCCTGTGCCATGTCTCCTGTCCAGGAACATCCCTGTGCTCCAGCTGCCCGCATTCACTAAGGAAGCAGCATTTCCATTTTTGGAGGCTGCTTTCCTTTGCACCACAGCCTTGCCCATGCTAATTTCCTCTTTGGGCTCAGGTACCCGGAGATGACCCTTGAGGTTACCCCTGGGCTGGCATCCCCACCAAATCCAGGTGGGCAGCACTCTGGTGTCCTCCCATTCCTGTCCCCATCCCCATTATGCGCCAGTGATGACTGTTCTCAGGGGTGCTTCTATGCTGAGGTGATCGCTTCAGTGTGGTGTGCCCATGCCCAGGGCCTGCCCGTCAGCTGCATGTCTCAGTGGGAATGTGGGAGCAGGGCTGGATGTCCCAGAAGGTACGTGGAACAGAGCTGGCTGTCTCGGTGGGGATGTGAGAGCAGGGCTGGGCAGCCCAGGCATGTAGCAGCAGGACCCCCTAGCACCACACATGTTGCAGCTCATTCCCCTGGCAGAAAAACATTTGGCTAGAAGCTTAGTGCGGCCTTTTGTCTCCTCAGAGCAATCAGGATTTGTCACTGCCTGCAATGTTTAGCGTTGTCTTCCAGAAGCTAAATACTGTGGGGAGCTGTGTAAGCTGCAGAAATACCTGTGTGAGCTGGGATCAGCCTGAGGCTGGCACAATGGGCTGGCAGCACTGGGGATGGGGGACTGGGGGACTGGGAATCCATGATGTTGGTCCTCATGCCCCCATGCTCATGGGTGGGCTGGCATGAGCCAGGATGAGGATGCTGGGGGTCAGCATCTTGCTCCCAAAAGGCTCCCTACAGAACGGGGCTGGAAGGCAAGTCTCAGGAGCATGGAGGGCACCTGGGGGGCCCCCGAACTGTGTGGAGTGGGGAAGAAGATGCCAGAGTCCCCAGCAATATCTGACCGGGGTCTGCCTGCCGAGGCGCAGGCAGCTATTTCTGTCAAGGTCAGTGTGTCTCCATGGGAGAGAGAGGAAAATGAGGAATCATGTAAAGAAATTACCTCTCTAATGGGGTCTCCCCTGGATGTGAGCAGGGTGTGGGGATGCCAGCATGCACTGGCTGAGCAAGGAGACCAGCACAGGAATACTGCCTCTGGCCCTAAGACTGCAACACTCATGGGTGCCCAGCAGGCAGAGCTGGGTGCCCAAGGGCCCATGCCCCAGTTGCTATCCTTGGCTGTACATGTGTGCTACAGTCCTGCAAGGTATTTTTCTGGGTCAGCTGCGGGGAGAAAATCATGTTCCTGCTGTAGGCATGCTCTCCTCTGCTCTTCTTCTTCCTCCTCCTCCTCCTCCTCCTCGTGTGCTCCCTGTTATCTAATTGAATTTGTCATGCTGGAAAGGCAAAGCCCTTCAGGACTGTGCTGTGCTCTCACCAGTGTGGTTTCACAGCTGGCCTCGGCACCCCAGTAGCCGACAAATGAGTAACTCAGCTGGACGCCATGGGCACCCCTGCTCCCCAGGCTCCCCCACAGCCTTGCCCACCTGGCCATCACCACAGCTGGACCCTCTCCTCCAATCCTGCCTAACACTAGTCCCTGTCCCTAAGCTCTGTCCCCACGTGCTCCAGCCTCTGCATCCCATCCCCATCCCTCACCCGCTCCAGGGTGATTGCCATGCCGCCCGGAGATGTCTGAACTGACACGAGATGGAAGCGTTCACAGAAATGACATTTTCTCCAGCCTGGGGAGCTTATCCTCCGTTTAAAGAAAACTAATATAGAAGCTGCCCTAGTGTGCCGGGGCTGATGGTATCAGGCTGGCAGCCGCCGGCGCTCGCAGCCGCGATAAATCTCAGAAAGGAGTCGAGCCGGCTGCAGCCGCCCCACAGAGAGGGGCTGAGCAGTGTCCTGGCGGTGCTGCGGGGACAGAGCGGCGGGAGGGGACATCTCGGGGCGGGCATGGCGGGGTGACCACAGAGTCCGAGGATGCAGGGAGCGGGGAGCCCGCGGTGGGGATGGCGCAGCGCTGCACTTGGCGGCGGGGCTGCGGCACGACAGGCAGAGCTGAACAGCGGCCCGGCCCAGCTCAGGGTCTACCCTGGGGCTGGGGCCGGGCCAGGCCGGGGCGGCCGAGGGACGGAGCGGGGCGCGGGAAGGCCGAGCGCGGGGCCCTGCTGCCCCCTGCCGGGCAGCGCCCGCCAAGCACCCGGCGGCGCGGGCAGGGCCTGCGAGGGACGGCCAGTGGGGCCCGGCCGCCCTCGGGTGCTGCCGCTGCCTCCGCTCCGTCCTCTCGGTGCCTGCCTTGCTTCTGACCTGCCTGAAGTCCTCGTGCAGCTGTAACCAAGCTTCCAGATGGGATCCTGGCCGCGCCTCCATAGTGGCTATAGTTAGGTGTTGCTCAGGCATCAAGGCCTACGGCTGGGATCCTGCTGGGGAGTCACTGCTGAGGCAATCAGGAGCTCCCTTTGTTCCAGTCCCTCCTGCCACCACTGGCCTTTTCCTGTCCTGATGCAATGGAGTTCAAGAATTTTTCTTTCGCGGGCCCAGTAGCCCTGACTTTAATCGGTCTGTGGAGGATGAGGGACACCCCCCTTCCCATGCCAGGCCATGCTGGGTGAGTGCCGAAGGTGGGTGCCTGGAAGCAGCATCAGCAGGAGATGAGAGGCTGAGGAGTGCAGTGCTGAGCTTTGAAGGCACCTGACAGGCTGTCGGGGTGCTGCCAGCCATGCTGACAGCCGGGTACAGACAGCCCCCGCCACTGCTGTGCTCTGATCACAGCCTCGCCGTCACTTCAAAGCGCCCGCTAGGCGCAGGTGGGTTCTCATGCAGCCTCCCACCCCATGGTTCCACTCCTCCTGAGCCACAGTCTTGCTTCTCCTGCCCCACCTGCCCCAGATGCAGAGGTACTCAGCTCCGGGGACACCAAGATACAAAGTAGACAAGGTCCCAAGCAGCACTGGCAGTAGGTGATGGCCCCCCAATGCTGTCAAGTGTCCTGCCTCTGTGGGGCAGAGTCCCCGGCTGCAGAACACACACAGCTGGGGACCCTGGAGGTCCAGGCAGTGTTTTGTGGTGACTGCAGTGAAATGCATGGCAAGGGACAAGGAGGAAGAGCTGGGGTGCAAAATTCCTAGGCACAGGGTTCACACAGTGTGCCTGAGACAGGTCATCACTATCCAGACACAGATGCCCACCATGCCAGTACACTGGGGGCTGCCAGTTCAGCTTGCCTGGGGTAAGACAACACACACCCCTGTCCCAACCCATCTCGAGAAGGAATTTTCCATTCTCGAATGCAGGTTGGGGAAAGGCGTGTTTGTAGCAACCCCCTCCTCTCCCTCCCCTCACCCATCACCAAAGCAGCTCAGGAAGGCGCCTGCCTTGTTCTCTCTAGGAAGGTGCAGAGCAAAAGCCTCCCAGGAGAGAGAGATCCCTGGAGGGGACCAGGGACCCCGGGCAGCCTCAGGAGCAGCCTGCAGCCCACTTTCCAGAGGAGCCACTCTGAGTGCAGCCATGCCACTGCCCCTTGCCTGCTGCCAGGACGGGGAAGTTCTGACATCACCCCAGGACAGCAGCGCGCCCCAGCTCGTTGTTGGCATCCTGCGAGCCACCCGGATTCCCGGGCTGCACTACATGTGTACCCGGCCACAGTCCCGCCTGCGCCGGCTGCTCTGGAGCCTGGCCTTCCTGGCCTCCGCCGGTCTGCTGGCCACCGGCACCGCCGACCGCCTGCAGCACCTGCTCTCGCGCCCCGTGCACACCCGCGCACGCCTCGCCTGGGCACCCCAGCTCCGCTTCCCGGCTGTCACCCTCTGCAACCCCAACCGGGCTCGCTTCCTGCACCTCACCAAACCCGACCTTTACTCGGTGGGAGAGTGGCTGGGGCTGGCCCAGGAGAACCACTCACTGGTGCCCGAAATGCTGGCCGTGCTGGGGGAAGACCAGCGTGCCTGGCTGACACGTCTGGCCAACTACTCGCGCTTCTTGCCTCCCCGCCGCTCCGAGCGCACCATGCAGAGCTTCTTTCACCGCCTGGGCCACCAGATTGAGGACATGTTAGTGGAGTGTCGCTTTCAGGGAGAGCGCTGTGGCCCCCAGCACTTCACTCCCGTGAGTTCCCTCCTGCAAGGCGCAGGACAGCTGGGCTGCCCGACGGGTACTGGGAATGATGCTTCACCCCCACCCCAGAAAGGGTGGAGGAGTGGCAGAGTGGGGAGTCAGGCTCAGATGAGCTTTTCCAAAGGTCATGCAAGACTGTACCTTCCTTCCATCACCTCCAGGGAATTGGAAAAGAGTTTCTGGACCTCATCCTGCTTGTGGAGTACTCGACCAGATAGATCCCTGCCTGCTCACTTACTGCTGCTCTCTCCATCCCCAGGTCTACACACGCTATGGTAAGTGCTACACTTTCAATGGGGATCGGAGGAATCCACGTGTGACCCGCCAAGGTGGCATGGGCAACGGGCTGGAGATCATGCTGGACATCCAGCAGGAAGAATACCTGCCCATCTGGAGAGAGACCAGTAAGTGGGGCTATGGCTCAGACAGGGCACCGGTGAGGGGTGCTAGAACACAGGGTTGCTGAGCAAGCAGAGCACCCTGTGAGTGGATGATGGATAAAGCAGGGCATCAGAGGGGTGCAGGGGCTAGATCGGTGCAGGCATGCAGCACCTCTGTCCTTCTCCCACAGACGAGACATCATTTGAAGCTGGTATCCGGGTCCAGATCCACAGCCAGGACGAGCCACCCTATATCCATCAGCTGGGCTTTGGTGTCTCACCCGGCTTCCAGACCTTTGTGTCCTGCCAGGAGCAGCGGGTAAAGCAGGATGCCCCACAGCCCTAGGGAGGTAACTGCAGGCACTCAGCCCAGCACAGCCCTGCAGCAATGCCCTTCTCACCCCAACAGCTCACCTACCTGCCACAGCCGTGGGGGAACTGCCGGGCCAGCATGCAGGGAGAGCAGCTGCTGCCCGGCTATGACACCTACAGCATTGCTGCCTGCCGCCTCCAGTGTGAGAAGGAGGCCGTGGTGCAGAGCTGCCACTGCCGCATGGTCCATATGCCAGGTGAGGGGTGTGCATGATGGTGTGAGGGGTGCCCCAATGCTCCAACAGTCCTGCTGGGGTTGCCCAAACTCCCAGCAATCTGCACCCAAAGATCATCTCTGCCCCAACACTCTGCACCCAAGGATTCCCCCAGCCTCTCCACATGCTAGGTCAGCCCCTGTCCTACCTTCCTTACACCACAGTTCAGCTCCTTCCCTGTTTGCCTTGTACCTGGGCCACATCTGCCCCAACCAACCTGCACTCAAGGGTCACTCATCCCCATTCCCTCTGCACCCTGCCCTGCTACTTCCAAGGAAGTGAGTCAAGACTGGGGGGCAGAATCTGGCCATACTCTCCCCCTCCCAGCCTTCTGCTTCTCCACAGGCAATGAGTCCATCTGCTCCCCTAATGTGTACATCGAGTGTGCTGACCACACTCTAGGTAGGTATGGCAGTGGGTGGGCATCTAGGGGCTGGTCAAGTGCCCCAGGGAGGGGGTTGGAGATGGTGGCTGTGCCAATGGGTGTCTGCCCCCAGACGCAGCAGTGGAGGACAGCCAGGAGCGCTGCAGCTGCCCCACACCGTGCAACCTGACACGCTATGGCAAGGAGATCTCCATGGTCCGCATCCCCAACAAGGGCTCAGCACGCTACCTCGCCCGCAAGTACAACAAGAATGAGACCTACATTCGGTGAGTTGCCAACACTGGGGTATTCCAGGGGGTGGGCAGGGGGCTGGGGATCTGGGGAACTTCACTCCTGGCAGCATGCAGAGAGAGGGTCCTGGCATATTTGGTCTCTGCAGCATCCCCTGTGCAGGGGTGTTTTCACTAGACCTTCTTTCCAACTTGTCCAATCTTCCCAGCCCTCCTGCTGGCACCTGCCCACTCCAGTGTCTCTTCTGGCCTGGGACATGCCTCATGCATGTCCTCACTGCTCCAGCCTGAATAATTCGCAAGGGCCATGGGAGCACCTGGGAGTACACCTGGGAGCTGGAGGGCTGGGGGACACAGAAGGCTTGTGGGAAGTGGTGCAGGAGGGTTGATGACCAGCCCTCTTTACTGAGCACAATGGTGTCCCCGCAGGGAGAACTTCCTGGTGCTGGACATCTTCTTTGAGGCGCTTAACTATGAAGCCATTGAGCAGAAGAAAGCCTATGACCTTGCCGGGCTTCTTGGTGACTCCCTTTGCCCTCCTGTGGGGCCTTAAGGCGCGGAGCTCTGGGTCCCAGTCCTGGGAAGATACGGGTCTGGTGGGGGAGGGATCACACAGAGCAGCAGCCAGCCACAGGCTGGCTGAAGGGTGGAATGCTGCTGACTGTCTCCTATCCCGCATGTCCCCCACTCCCTCTGTCCTGCTGACCCTGTCCCCATGACTGCTCTGTCCCTCACCAGCAGCCCTGGCACTGCCCACTGCCCTGCTAGCCCACCCCAGGCTTCCAGTGGGCTGCACAGCTTCTCCTGGTGACCATCTTCCCCTCCTCCTCCCCAGGGGACATCGGGGGACAGATGGGCCTGTTCATCGGTGCCAGCATCCTCACCATCTTGGAAATCCTGGACTACATCTATGAGGTGTGCTTAGCCTTCAGAGATGTGTCTTGGCAGTGGGTACAGAGACAGGCTTCCTGGGGAGGGCATAAAATGTGTGGTTACCCCATAGGGCTATAACAGCCCCCAGATTAGGCAACACCTAGAGGAAGGCAGTAGGAGGAGAATGGGTCTCCCAGCATTCCTTAGTGACCTGAGGACAGGGAGGGTGGTGGGCCAAGGTACTGTCCCACTGTCCCTGGGTGACAAGGGGAGTAGACACCAGTTCTGTGTAGGCTGGGATCTCCACACACAGGGTGTGTGCAGGTCTGGGTCTGACCCCCCATCTGCTCCCAGGTGGTCCGAGATAAGGTGAGCCGGGTCCTGCGCCGCTCCAAGCCACCTCTGAAGAAGCCCTCGGGCAGCATTGCCACACTGGGATTGGAGGAGATGAAGGACCAGGTACCCCTGCAGGGCTGGGCTGCCTGGAGGCTGCGAGGACAGGGCCTGGCCATATGTCTGCCCAGACTCCAGGAGGAAGGGACATCATCCCAAGATCGAGGGTCTGTGTGGCTCTGCCGTTGGTGCCTTCAGGCTGCAGAGTCAGAGCAGTCCCAGGGAAGCAGGGAGCTGGCTGTCCCCCGGGGAGCTCCTGTGGACAGGCTGCGATGGGTGGGAGGACTAGGGAGGGGGCAGGGTGCATGGAGGCTGTGCTCACCCTATTGACTGCCATCCCCACAGAGCCCCTGTGAGACACTGGGTCGGCACGTAGAGGGCGCCTACAACGCAGGCATCCTGCCCAACCACCACCACCGCCACCACTACCCTCACCAGGGAGTCTTCGAGGACTTCGCCTGCTAGGCAAGACTGGGACCAAGGGGCAGCCCTTGCCACCCCCCTCCCCAGCGTTCTCATGGAGAGGGACCGCGGCACTGGGTGCGGTGGGCATAGGCGCCTGCCTCCCTCCCCACTGCCAGGACCAGCCACACCTTTTGCCCCCAATGATGCCATTGGAGCTGCCTCAGCACCGGCACTGGAGCAGCCCCCCGGCCCTTTTGCCTGTCCCCTCTGCTTGCCCCTAGCACGTGGGCTCAGCCCAGTTTCAAGCACACAGCGTGGAGAGGGGGATGGGCATGCCAGGAGGGGGTTGGGGGAGCAGCAGGTGTGGGCCAGAGAGGCCCTGGTGCTGCAGAGCATGAAGGGGGTAAACCGAGGTTCCTGTGAGCCCCTCCAAGCCCTCCCCTGCTAACCCCTCCTGGGTGGTGGTCTCTGCCCTGCATGGTTTTCCCCAGGAAAGAGACATGCCTGGAACAGCTTCCCTCTGCCCGGGAACCACCTCCCTCCCTTCCTGCTGCAGGGCAGGGCAGCGTTGCAGGGCACCCCTCTGAGCAGCATGGCCCCCGTGGCCGGCCCAGAGACACCCCAACTGCAGCCACACCTGCATGGCACCACCCTGACCCCCTGGCACCACCACCACTGTGACACGCCCCTAAACACCTGCCCCACCCTTGCCCAACCACATGCAGTCTCTCAGGGCTGCAGCCCCTCCATCACTGTTCCCAGCCAGACCCCTGCACTGTGACTCCCCCTGCCACTCCACTGTTGGCCCCCAATCTCCAATCATTTCAGCACTGCAAACCTACTGCCTCCCCCATCTCCTGCCCCAATCTGTTGTGAACCCATCCTTTCCTTGCCCAGGTATTGCCCAGAGTGGCTCATCCCTTGGTGTAGCTGCCTGGCACAGCCCAGGCAGCATGGCAGGTCCTGCCCTCACTCCCCTGCCTGTTGCTGCTCTTTTGCACCATGCACGTACCCCTTGCCATGATCCCAGCCCCAGGTGCTGAGCACCCGCTGTGCCTCCCCCAGACTGTACATGGTTAGGAGGGTGCTCTGTGTCCAGCACTGCCCGGACAGCCACAGTCCAACCTGCTGGCCAGAGCCTTGGCCAAAACTGGTGCCCACAGACCTCCTGCCTGCCCTGAGATGGCGGGACCCACAGCAGGACACACGGCAGGACCTGCAGCACTCCCCCTGTCCTGTTGTACATTGCCTCCACCCCCTCCACTGTAGCAGCAGACACCAGCGCAGGGCAAACTGCCCCAAAATATCTCAGGAGGGGGGGCGAGCTGGCAAAGCTCCCCTCAACACACACACTTAGCAGAGGGGGACCCCAGGGCAGCAATCTGGGACTTCTAGGGAGGTCTGGGCTTGAACCAGGCAGCCTCTGGCCCTGCTTGTTTGGTCCCCATCCCTGGGGCCCACGGAGGGAACATGGCCATGCTGTGCCATGCCCAAAGCCATAGATGCAGGAGGATCCATCATCCTTGCAGCCCTAAGGCCCCACACATGGGAGGCACAGGGCAGGGACCAGGGCCCCAGCAGTCCTGGCTCTGGGAATGCATGGTCCAACAGCTCCCCCCAGGTATGCACCCATGTGTAAGCATGTTCCCCGTGGGTGCAAGCACCCAGCTGCATGGTGTTCCATGTCCCCTGCGTGGGGGGATGGATACACAGTGAGCCTCCCAGCAGGCCAGCACAGTGGTGCTCCCCAGGGACCCCTCCAGGGCACCCCGTGCCAGCTCCCCATGGGGTTCCCATATGCCAACCTGCAAGCAGGAGGGTCCCCAGAGGGATGCCACGTTATCCCAGGAACGTGCCACGGCCATGCCAGCCAGCCTTACACCAAGGTCTCCTGCGGCAAGTGGGGGGTGCAGGATGCATCCCTTTCTGGCCAGCCAGAGCAGCAGGCCCTGAGCAGGGTGGGCATGGGCACCATGGTGAGAGGGCCAGCACGAACCTCCCTCGTGCTGGTGAACGTGAGAGATGTGCGTCACTGTTTTATAAATGTACAAATGCTCCCTTAATAAAGAGGCACAAGTAGGTCCAGAGATGCCTGCGAGGGGTGATGGGGCAGAGAGATGGGTGAGACACCACCCTAGAGGAGAGGTGGTGGTGGGACCCAGGGAAAACTTTACAGCCCTGCACTCATGTATGAGGGATGGAGGGTGAAACTGAAACAGGGGAGACAGAGGATGGGTGGAGGGGAAGGGGGGCCCTGCTGGGTTTCCCTGGCAGAGGTGCTCCTCCAGTTCCTGCCTTCTCCAGAATTTTCACCATCTGTCCCGGCTACCCTGCAGCACAAAGGGGGCACAATAGGAAACAGAAGCTGACCTCTTGGTGAAGGCTGCCAGCACCAGGCACTACAGGTTTCCCTCTAAATCAGTGAGGGCTGAAAAAACCTGAATTAATTGGGTGCAACTGGGACACAGGGCCACATCCCACAGCTCACACCATGCCCAGTGAGAAGAGCACTGAGCTTGGGTGCTAAAGGGAAAAGCAGGGAAATAGTTACATCCTCCACATCTTGCTATCATCAAGTAAGAGGACTGGATTGCTTTGGGATGAGACTTCCTACCACCAGACTCTGACCCATCTGCTCCTTCAGGATGTTGCATCATTTCACCCACACCAAGATAATAACTGAAAGCTCATGATGCCTCCTGCTCTACAGTGACGACATGTCGCAGGAGCTGAGCAACGAGAGCAGGATTGTCTGGTGAGCCCATGAGGTCCTTCCTCAGGATGTCCTCCAGCTCCTTCAGCACCATGCACAGCAGTGAAGCATGGCAGAAGGAAAGGCTGAGCTTTATGCATGGCCCATCTCGGCTTCTATGCAAAAAAAGTGACCTCAGGATCATTCCCAGGAGCCCTGTAGTGATGACCTAATGAAGATTTGACACATATTTTTCTCTGTTGCTCTCAGCACCTCTATTTTTTAATTTGACAACTTTCAGGTGCTATCTGAAGTGACAGCTTCTGTAGGGTCTCCCACTTCTCCAAACACGACAGGCAGATGATGTGAACCGAGCAGCACCCGCCACCTGTGACATGCCTCATGTCCAAAGGCAGATGGCACTGGGCTGAGGAGGGCCAGTGGGACAACCCAGGTTTAGCACCCCAGGGTCAACCACAAACACCATTGCTGTGGCTCCTGCGTGCCCCCTCCCATGCTGTGCCTGTTCAAGGGCCACCAGGGGCTTGGTCCTCCCCAGAGATGGAGATGCTGCCACCTGGGGCTCACCCAGCACAGTGCTGCTTAAAACATCTGTAATGAACCACATGAAAAACTGGGGCATAATTACAAGGGGATCCACTACAGTGAAACAGGCCCTTAATTTTAATGAGCACAGTGCTCTGGCCAAATGCCAAATACGTGATCACAGGAGGACCGGCTGTGCTGGTGACAGCTTCTGTCACAGTAGAGGTGACAACCCCAGAAGACACAGCAGGAGTGGCAGTAGAAAGTAGGCACCAGGATGGAGTAGGCAGCAAGGATCTCTTCTGTCTATGGGGCAGGCATCTCCTCTGGGCACTTTCCAACATGCCTCCACCTCCACGAACAATAATTACAGCTGTTCTCATAGAAAAGCTGCATTTCAAAGAAAAAAAATCAAACATCCAGCTTGGGAGCAGAGGGTTTGGAAGTAAGCCCCAAAATGCAATGGGACATGTGGCCTCACTGCTGTCATCTCCTCCCCACGCATCTCCTGCCTGGAGATGCTGACGGTGACAGGCAACACCTGGAGAAAGGAGTGACTCTTAGAATGTCTGTACGACGTGAAAATGCCAAGCTCACTGATTTGCTCTTTGATCATTTTCCCATGACCCCCTTGCTGGAAAAATGGACTGGTGATGCCAATCAGTCCAATCGGGCCAGGCAAGGGACACACAGAACCCACTTTCCAGCACTCAGCCCCTGACAGTGGGCAAGGAGGCTGGAAAAACCAAGGAAGCAATTAAAATAAAAGTCCAAGCAAGCTGCCTGCCTCTTCCCCCGGTACCAGAGCTTCAGGGTCTTGTATTCTGCCAATGCTGAGGTGGTGTGGCCCCAGAGGGGACATCCGTAGGCATAGCTAGATATGCTGCCACCTCATGGAAGGAAACCCCTGAAGGCAGGCACACACTGACAGCAGCTCTGCCTGCACCTACAGCTTTCCTTCTTCACTGAAATGCTCTGATTTCCCTGAGCTTGGCCAGAAAAAACCCTAACCAAAGCCCTTCATACCCTCCAGAGGGGCTAAGCAGTATGTTGGACATCCAAGGTATTGGATGCAAGCACAGCTTGGCAGCTCCCTGTCTGCTCCTCCTCAAGCAGACCAGCTTCTTCTGCCTTCACTTAGAGACAGGAGGAAATGTTTGCTGGAGTTGGGTCCTGGCCTGTGGTCAGTAGAGCTGCTCCTGCAGAACATGCAGCACTGGTCCCTTCCCAAAGAAAGCACAGGGAAGAAAGGGCATTGTATTTCCCCTCGCCCTTCAACCCTTTCCTGGCACGGCTGCAATTCCTATATCCTCCCAAAGGTCAGCCATCAAACTGATTAATATTGCTGGGGCTGAAGTAGCTTTGCCACAGAGTTTAGCACAGCCTGAAGTGACCTAAGCAGGGCTAGAGAAGAATGTTTTGCCTTCCCTGCTCAGAGGCTCACTGTTTTGTTTGCATACACAGTGGAGAACAGCAGTAGTTTGGGCTTTCCCCAGTTTGAGTCTCTTTTCTTGCCACAATGCAGAAATGAGAGAGGAGGCAGGAGCGAAGGCAGGTGCCCACCCAGGCTCTGTGTATTCAGACATTCCCTCTTGTGCTTCAGAGTGCTCTGAACCAACCCTTCAGTCTCTCTTCTAAAAAACTTTCCAAGACGAAGTTGCTCCGTCCCTCTTGATTGCTGTGGTCAGCCAGTAACATTTAGAAAATTTCCTCAAGGAAAGTAGAAGTCTACAATGCAGGAGACAAGTTTTCTCCTGCCTCATTTGTAAAATTGACCTTTCACTGCCCTGCTTCCGCAACTGGGTAAGTGCAAAAATCCACA